CGCGCAGGGCACTAGCAAAAAAAAAACCCTAAACCCCTAAACCCTTAACTCCAAGGCCCCTTGGACGGCTCGAACGCCAAACCCCGAGAAAACCTTGGAGGACAATCATGAAGCCCGCTGTTAACACAATGGACCTGAAACCTTTAAAGGAAATCCCTATAATTTAGGGGTTTAGGGTTTAGGGTTTACTATAAAAACCCTGACAACCCTATCAAACCTTAAGGCCCTATGAGACCGGTATGGTGGCTCCGAGGCACCTCACACTGGTAGTAGTTGTTGGTGCAGTGGCAATCCATGCTAAGGATCGGCACCATCAGCCAAACCTCAGTCAAGAAAAAAGCGAAATTTAGATGGGCTGTAGGTAGAGGGTCTGGCGGTTTAGGGTGGGGCTCGCATGGGCTTCGGAGGTGTTTAGAACACAGAACACGTGGGAAGTCGCGCACTCTGAAGAAGGCACGTGGCGTTGTTGTCGTCAACCCATAGTTGTGGGTAACGTAGGGGCCTTAATATTTAGAATAGGGTTTCGGGCTTCCTCTCTGTCCTTTAAAGGGTTCCTTGAAGTTCCAGAAGGGCGACTATAAGGGTTTAGGGTTTAGGGGCCTTAATAATTAGAACAGGGTTTCGGGCTTCCTTTGAAAGGTTCCTTGAAGGGTTCTATAAGGGCGACTATAAGGGTTTAGGTTTCAGGGGCCTGAATAATCAGAATAGGGTTTTGGGCTTCCTTTAAAGGTTTCCTTAAGGGGTTCTATAAGGGCGACTATAAGGGTTTAGGTTTTAGGGGCCTCAATAATTAGAATAGGGTTTTGGGGTATACTATACTATAATTATAATAAGTAGTTTAAGGAACCCCCAAAATTTTTTTTGGTAATTATTGGGGCCCCTCTATCTATATATAAGCCTACATGATACTGGCTTGCAGAATCACCATCCCTTTACCCCCAAGGAGCTGAATTCCCTGCAAGGGTTCTACAAGGATTCTCTCAACGTCCTTCCCACACGCGAACCTCTACCAATCCTCAGAAACCCGTAGGCTTTCGCGCTTTAAGCTGTAGGACCTACAACCCGAAACCCCAAGACATTCAACTGCTCCTCCTGAAAGCTGGGTGCGCCGGCGGCAACTAGCAGGTTCAGGAGGAAAACCGTGTAGTACCTGGCACGAAGGGATGTTAGACCCTGCATGAGAGCTTGTTAGTTTTTGCTCTGGTTCTTTTGCCTTTCCAGAGGATGGGTTGAAGTTGACTACTCCCCCCCGGAAATCATGCAGAACCCGTGTGGGTTTTCGGGCTTGTGGTTTTTTGCAGCAGTGTAGGGGCCTTAATAATGCGGGTAGAGCTTTCTGGGTGTATACAGAGATCTGGTGCAGAGGTCTATAGCATCCCGTAGTTGTTGAAGGAGTTTTGTAGGATTTGTGGCTTCGAAAACAAGCAGTACTTGGGTCTTGTAGTTGTTTATAGGCTTGCGTAGGGTCTTTTCGGATTCATCTGTCTGTCTAGAGCTGTCAGGTTGGAACATCCGACTGTCAGAGTTTGATGTGCTGGCCGCATTTCAGCAGGCCTGCGAAGTTGCACACCTGCACCGTAAGCTCCAAAGCTTAAATCCATACATCCTAGCTAGGACGATCCTCACGGTAACAATCCCGCCTGATTTGCAAGAGAGCCTCCCTACAGTAAGCCCTTTCCTTAAAACTTAGGAGACTGCGTGATGTCCCTCCCGGGGCACAGCTTCACGTGTCTCACGTTCCGCCGGAGGACCGATGTGATACCTAGCCACAGGTGCTATAACGGTTATGTATATATGTATGCATACATACATACCTACCTACATACATACATACATACATACATACATACATACATACTTGCATACATACACCCCCTGCCCCCATGGTCCATGATCCAGGACGCCCCCCGCCCCTGTGGGTGGGGTGTGGGGTCCCTCTTCCCGCTGTGGTGTGGTTTTGGGGTTTTGGGGTTTTGGGCTTAGCTTAAGCTTTTGAGTTCGGAGTTTAGGGTTTAAGGTTGAAAATTAAAGGCTTCGAGTCGGCAAGAGCTTAGGGAGGGTTTGGGGCCTACGTTATAGGGTTTATGGCTTGCGCAGGCCTTGCGCAAGATCCCGGCCCTCTCTGTGACCCCTGGCCGCCTCCCAGCAGCACCCCACCCAACCGCCCTCCGCTCATGCCAGCCCCTCTTCTAAACTGATGTAGGGGCTTTGATGATTTAGAATAGGGTTTGGGGGCCCATTATACTGCAATGATAGTAAGGAACCCCCCAAAAATAGTATAGGTAATTATTAAGGCCCCTATACTAAGGCTGAAGGCCCCTGAAATGATTACAGACTCGTGAACACCAAGGCTCCCCAGAGCGTGCACGCGGCCTCGGACGCGTGGGAGGAAGAAATGTATGGCTCGGGGTGTTTAGGGTTTAGGGTTTAAGTCGGATTGGTGTCTAGAATGTAGTACTATGGCTTTTTAAAATCATTTGGGAGGCGTTGAATTTCTTCGGTTTGCTCTGGTCATAGGGGCCTTAGCGTTCAGGGCCACTGTGGCGTGTCTGTGACAACCTGTTGGAGCTTTGTTGTAACTGCGGCTAGGTCAAAATGAAGAGCCGAACGAGCAACATGAGATTCCAAGGAACGAACGACGAACGAACGATGGGGTGCATGAAAACGCTCTACATGGCCCTAAACCCTCAACCCTAAACCCTAAACCCCTAAACCTCGAACCCTAAGCGATATTGCGCATGATCAAGCTCCACATAGCTCTACTTCACCACAACCCCGAGCCGTAGGTTGAAGACTCCCCTTGCGCCGCACGAAGCCCCGAAAGCCAACCCCGAGAACCCCAGACCCTAGGACCGGGTCTATAGGGGTTGGGTTTAGGGTTCAGGGTTCAGGGTTTAGGGTTTAGGGTTCAGGGTTCAGGGTTTAGGGTTTAGGGAGCAAACTACAGGTGGGGAGTTTGGGGTATATAGGGCTTCTATAAGGCTTCTATAAGGTATGTAGCCCTTCTATAAGAACCCATAACCCACTAAACCCTCCGGAACGTACATAACGTAGGGGCCTGAATAGTTAGAATTGGGTTTTGGGGGCTCCTTATATTAGAATTATAGTACAGCATACCACAAACCCTATTCTAATTATTAAGGCCCATATATTATGCTCTTAGCCCTAAACCCTAAACCCTAAGCCCTAAACCCTAAACCCATATATTATGCTCTTGAACTAACCCCTGGAATCCCAGAAAGCCTTCATGGTTATGAAACCCTGTGAAACCGCTGCAAGACCTGTTTGAGCCGCCTGTGTTGGGGCTCTCCGTGCTACAGAGACCCTTTCAATGAAAGGGCATCAAGGGGTCTGGGCTTAATATAGGGGCCTAAATCATTACCAATACTATCTTGGTAGTTCCTTACCATAATTACAGTAGAGTGGACCCCAAAACCCTTTTCGAATTATTAAGGCCCCTATATTAGAGTGTAGGGTTTCGGGTAGCTTGTGTTTGGGTTTTGGGGGCTTGGAGCTACGTTCCGGGAATCGGGCTTAAGGTTGGGATTCGAGGGCTTACTGTAGAAGCCTTAATAATTACGATAGAATTTGGGACATATTGTACTATAACCCGAACAAGGAACCCCCGAAACCCTATTCTAATCATTATGGCCCCTGAACCCTAAGCCCTTATAGTAGCCCTTATAGAACCCTTAAAGGAACCCTTTCAAGGACCCCCAAAACCCCATTCTAACTATTAAGGCCCCTACATTACTTAAAGCTTCTTTTGAGCTTGCGGCTGAGGTTTTAAGGAGCCGGCCCTGGGGTTTAGAGTCCAGGGTCTGGGGCTTAGGGTCTAGGGGGTTTCGGGTTTAGGGTTAAGGGTTGAGGGATGAAGGTTAGGGTCTAGGGTCTGGGGTTGAGGGTTTAGGGTATAGGGTTTAGGGTATAGGATTGAGGGTTTAGGGTTTCGGGTTGAGGGTACAGAGTATACAAGATAGGGTATAGGGTTGAGGGTTTAGGCTCCGCTCTTTAGCCGACAACCTGATCCAGTCTTCACCTAGGCACTCGGATGCCAGCCACCAGGACGTAGAACTTAAAGTTGTTCATCATCTGCAAAGGCACCCTGACGGGCGCATCGTTTGGGAGCTGGGGCCTGGGATTTGGCGCTTCATTCGGATCTCTACAGCCTTTCAGGCTAACCGCCACACCTCTAATTCCTAAACCTCTAATCGCTAAACCTCTAAACCCCTAAACGCAAAACCCATGCAGCTTGGGCGGAGGTGCAAGTTTCAGAGTTCCGCGGAAACGTTGCACCTGAAGGCTTTCAGGTTCAGGGCTCCCGGCCGCGAGTCTCTGCTGCACGACACCCCCAAAATCTTATCATTCCGAAAGCAGCCCTGAAGATGCCTGAAAGAACAGCCCTAGAAAGAACAAGGGCTTAGGGTTTAGGGTTTAGGGTTTAGGGTTCAGGGTTCAGGGTTTAGGGTGTAGGGTTTAGGGTTTAGGGTTTAGGGTTTAGGGTTTGGGGTTTAGGAAATAACGGTTGAGCCATTTCATTTGTCTGCTTTCGGAAGGAGAACCCGGAAAGCAAGTCAACGTCCCAGTAGTGCTGTCTGCTGTACGATATCCATTTCAATGAAGACATATGGTTGATGAGTAGAATCACATTTATGTTGAGCCATTTGTCTCCTTTAGGAGCGAGAACCCGGAAGCGCACGAAGCCGTGGTCCAGGGCTTGGTTTAGTCGGTTTCAGGTGACGTAGGGTTTAGGGTTTAGGGTGTAGGGTTTAGTGTTTAGGGTTGTTTGACTGCTAGACTGGTTCGAACATGGACAGTTTGGTGTATAGTGTATAGGCACGACAAAGTCTAGATTTGGACAAAAGCCATCAGGACTTAGGTCAAGTCTCCCCGCAGGCACTATTCAATTGGTGCAATCGGTGCTTCTTTCTGCGCCCGTATTCCCTAGTTAATCGGTGCTTGTTTCCTGTCGCCCTCTGCACCCTTATTCCCTAGCTAATCGGTGCTTATTTCCTGCCGACCTCTGCTAGAAATTCAGCCCGTATTAAGCGCTTAATAAGCGCTTAATGTGCCCGTATTTCTCGCAACCCCAAACCGAAGACACGAAGCCTTATTCAGTCCTTATTCCGGCGTTTTTCTGGAGGGTGGGAGTTTGGAGGGGAGTGTAGACCCGCATGATAACCTTAGCACTCAAACACACGGAAGCTCGAAGAGCTGGAAGCATGTGCCCTCTGAACCGGAGACCGCGAGCCCAAAACCAAACCTCAACCAAAATCCGAAACTCCAGTCCTGACCCCCGTGTTGGAAACCCTTATAGAACCCTTGGGTTTAGGGTGTAAAAAAGTTCTGGGGCCCAGTATACTATATGATAAGGAACCCCCAAAATAGTATTGGTAATTATTTAGGCCCCTATATTTCGGTTTGGGGTTTTTAAGGAAACCCATTTTGAGACTCTGAACTTAGCGAAACCCCTCAAAGAACCATGTTGTTCTGGTGCTTCGCTTGACTAAGGCACTGGTGCTGCATACATCGTTACCATAGGGGCCTGCCAGATTAGAATGAGATCTTGGAGTGTGCTATACTTATTCTACAATGACTGCCACTACCTATTCCAACCCTACAAACCCACACCTCAATGTCAACCTCATTGGTACCACTTCCGGTTTTCATGCGCACAGCGGCTCGAAGGCGAGGCACGCCGCATGCACTGTGTTAGCGACCCGGCTACCTCTCACTTCGGGGTTTCGGGTTGGGGCTTAGAGGCTTCGTGTTCGTGGTTTTCTTACAACGGAGTTCGGGATACCTGACCGATTGAAGAAGAATCGGTAGGCCTGGGATAAAAAGGCTGACACTCAGTGGCAGAAACATTCTCACAGGAGGCGTGGCCGCTTTGGCACTGTCGGCCGCGCACCAGGCCTCGTGCATGTGCGCAGCTTTTCCTGCACACAGCTGCTGTCACCCCCAGCTCTTGAATCACCCCAAGTTAGCACGGACCCGTCCGTCAGCAGAGCCGCAAAAGCTTTGGCTGTCGCCTGTATGTGCAGCACATGACCAGTACTGAGGTAGCCTCCGCCCTCATGAAAGGACCCAGGCCAGGTAACGATCGCCCCATCACACGTCGCGGCAAATCCAATTGCAGATGCCTGGATGCTTGTAACGTCGTGCAAGTGGCATTGAACACGGCTGCTTTCGCCGCCGTAAAGCTGACTGCCCCATGTCACAACGGTGCCATCAAAGCGCAGTGCTGCGAAGGCGCAGTCAGAGGCTTGCACTGCTTGCACGTTCCGAAGCTGGTGTTGGACAGCACTGCTGACACCACCATTGTGTTCGTCACCCCACGTTACCACCGACCCATTCTCCAAAAGGGCAGCGAATGCGAAGTCCGTGGACTGTACACAGCACACTCTCTGCAACTGAGCTTGAACCGAACTGCTGTCGCCGCCGTTGCTCAAGTCCCCCCATGTCACCACGGAGGCGTCTGAGAGGATCGCGGCAAAGGCGCACCTGCCGGCCGTGAGGCTCTTCACTTCCCGGAGTTGATCCTGAACAGAAGAGCAATCGCCGCCATAGGGCGCCTCGCCCCAGGTTACAACGGAGCCATCCTGTCGAATGGCTGCGAAGGCACAGTGAGTGGCCTGGATTTCCTGCACGTCTCTCAACTGCTCTGCTACCCGCCCGCTGTCACCTCCGTGGTGTGGCATGCCCCAGGTGACCACGGATCCATCTCTCAGTACAGCTGCAAAAGCAGCATTTGTGGACTGAACCTGCTGCACATTCTGCAGCCGCTCTCGGATGGCGGAGCTGTCACCACCCCCAAGGGGATGGCCCCAAGTCACCACAGAACCATTCCTAGTTCATGGTTGGGGTAGTATTAAGAATCTAAATTTATATTCCTTATTGGGTTTAAGTACCCTTAAAAATGTAAAATGTTACCCAACTATGACAAAGTTTTTGGAAAGAAGAGAGTGCTACCCTGTAGCTCACGGAGTTAGGCGTAACGTCAGCTTCAGACATCTCTT